CTCCCCCTCATCCTCCCGTCCATCCTCGTACGGTGGCAGCCCCCACGGCTGAGGGAGGTCTCATCAGCGACTGCACCGCGCTGGCCTGCGCCCGTTTCTTGGTGGGCATACGGAGCCTCGCCGCCAAGCGTCTGGGGCGCTGCGGTGATCCGGATGCGCACCGAGGCGGCGGCGTGCGGCGATGGCAAGCAGGCCGCCCATCCGCAACACGCCGAGACAGCAACATGGCTGCAGGAGGAGGAGGAGGAGACCATGATGTATTTTCCATCGCCACATCAAAAACGAGTTGCTTTTGCAGGCTTGTGCGAGATCATGCAAAGCGGCAGGCGAGCTCAAGCGTGGACTTTAAACTCGGGAAGGTAAGGGAGGGAGACAGAACCAAAAAGGCTACACTACAGAGAAGTGTACAGAGCGATTCGCATTCGGACTCAACTGTGAGCAAGCTCTGGAAATATGACCATGATGTATTTCCCATCGCCACATCAAGAACGAGTTGCTTTTGCAGGCTTGTGCGAGATCATGCAAAGCGGCAAGCGAGCTCAAGCCTGGACTTGAAACTCCACAATCCCAGAAGCAAGCGCAACCGCGACAGGCGGAATGAGACACTACGTGCATCACAGAGCCGGGGCCACGAGTTGTGTGAGGAGCGCACAGAAATCGTTTGGGTATGGTTGCGCCATGGCCGTGCGCCAAACACCTTGGGCGCCTTTGCCCTCAAGGATGGTGTGAGAGCAGCCTGAGCTCGAGCACGCACTCCTAGAGGGCCGACACCGCGGCAGAGCGAGCGGTGGCCAGTTCACAAAGAGGATCCTTGTTGCCTTTTTCCAGGGGGGCCCGGACTGGCAAACATCGGTCACCTGCATGTTAGCGCTAGGCAACTGCATTAGCATGTTGATCTCACTCGTGAGCCAGACACGACTAGTAGCTGGATTCTCGAGCGCACAGGGGCAGCCACGAGCTGCCGCAAGCTTAAAAAGTCTGACAGTCTGTCTCAGCAGCAAATTGTGCAATCGTACCTTCTCATTATCTTTGCGCGAGAGATCGGGCAGACCGTGCAAGTATGTCGTATCATCTCTGGGCGGGCCT